TTTGAAAGCCATAACACGAGTACATGCTAGCCTTCTTGTTAGATTTTGAAAAATTGGCAATAAATTGAATAAATCATTTACATTCAAAGAAAATGGTGATGAGCTAAGGGCAAATCCAAAAATTTTTATTTTTTATTTTTAGTGTGGACAATATTAGTAAAGGTAAAAAAAATAATAATAATAACATTATAACAGAAATATTATACAAAAATGAAATACCTTACAATTGTTCTTTATGAGTTTTAATATTTAGGGTGTGTTTGATTGGAGGTGGAATTCCACCTTCCAATTTAACCTTGTTTGATATATTTTTTTCCCCCTAGAAATGAAATTCCATCTTTGGTGCCACATAAGCCAATTCCTTGAATTCAAGGATTACCATAGCATTTTATTTATTTATTTTTTTTTTTTTTGGCAACGGAAACAAATTCTAAGAATTATTGTAAAAAAATATTTCCCTTTAATTGACAATTTTATTGTAAAACAAGGTCAAACGAACACCAAAAGATAGATTTTTTTAGAAGATATATATATATTTTTTTGGCAATGGGAACAAATTCCATTCCTAATACTAATAAATTTTATCTCTTTAATTGACAATTTTCATGTAAAACAAAGCCGAACGAACACAAAAAAATACTTTTAGTTCAACATTTTTCGCGTGAAAAATTATACCAATCAAACACAATAATTTACAATTCCCAAGAAAACAATTTTTAGACAATTCAATTCCATCTTTGCAATCAAACGGATCCTTAGATATATTTGTATGATCAATTCATTATCAAAAATATATTTCTCTGCATAAACAACAAGGTTTTCATTCATCCACTCATCTCCAATCCAATTACATAGTATATCCTTCACAAATATTTATGACATAAAATACTCTCTCTAATGTAGCAATAGCAATCGAAAGAATTATTGCTAATGTCAAAAAAGTGTACACTAGCGAATATGCTCTCCTCTTATTAGCGATCTAATATAATTTTTGTACACAAATTATAGTCTTATTAACGTGTAAATATATACTATTTCCAAAATGATACAAGAAGCTTTTACATTTCTATACAATCACTCATCCACTAAGAAAAGGAGAAAATATTTATAAAAAAATAAGAAGGAAAAAGAAGGTAATTGGTAACATAATCGATCAACCAGATCGGGATCCCAGGGTGATTAAATTTTCTATTGAATTAAATCAACAATTTATTCAAGCAGAAGTTTTAATTTCTTCATCCTTATGAAATCTTTGAATTTCTTGTTCAACTCTTCAGTACTCGCACGTTCTGCATCATCATCATCTTCTTCTTCTTCTTCCTCCTTATAATCTCGTTCTTGAAATGCAATCAAGACCAAAGTTTCTTCTTATTTCTTATAATCTTTGTTCTGCATTTAAGTTTAAAATTTCTTCTCTTGGTTTTAATTTTGATTCTTCGTATTCTTTACAATCTTCTTCTTTGCCTTTTCCCTCACAATTCTCCGACTGTCCCCCAATCTTCCATCTCTATTGGCACGTTTTTCCAGTGGGGATAGCCCAAAGTTCATGACTAAACTAGACCTTCATTGTGTCCACCCTTGAACTAGTCATTCTGTGAATTTCGTATAATAACGTAGCAAGCAAAAATAGAAGTAGAGATTGTGGAAATATAAAAGTAAAATGATAATAATGTAGAACAAATTATGAAATCAAGAGTGTGATAGTTGAGAAATTAAGACTGATACCGCTAAAGAGTTAAAAGCAATATATTAAAGAAATTTAAAAAATATTGAAAGTGAAATGTTACGGAATTTATTTTTCAACCACCCCATATTTTTAGACCCCTTTTTTTGTTTTGAAAAATTCACATTTCTGTTTTAATGGCACCCTGCACTCAGGGCCGGAGCCAGGAAATTTGTTCAGTGCGGGCATAATTTAACCCATGTTAGACATGGAGTTTTGATCATGAATTTAATGATGATAAAACTATAAAACAAAATCATGAGTTTGGGCCTAAAAATAAAATCAATGTAAATTAAAATATGTGTTTTATTCCACCTCCCCTGTTGCTATAATAATAATAATAATAATAATAATAATAATAATAATAATAATAATAATAATAATAATAAAACAAATAATATTGTTTGGGCCTAAAATTTTAGTGCGGGCATATTCCCGCACTCGTCTCAACATGGCTCCGCCCCTGCCTTCACCATCAACTTTGCATGGCTACAAATTGTTTACATAGGCTTGCCTAGGTCAGGTCGTGGGCTAAAAAGCTAATAGATCGCGAGTCACAGACAAGCCGACTTGCATATGAGCCAACAAGCTCACAAGAATGAATTACTGTTCAATTTGTTAGTTCGACGAGCAACTCGTCCCACTTAACACCTCTAGGGAGAATAAGAAAATTGTTTCTATTATAAGTCAGTTTACCTTTATGTTACCCATGTTATTTTAAGTAATGAAATTATTTCTTACTAATAGTGTTGAGTACTTATTTGATCAAGTGCATATAAATTTTATTTTTGCATCTCATTTTTAACGAATTATTTAACTAAACTAGGTGTAGAATAACTCTCTAATCAAATTTTGCAATCCCATGCACCTCCTGTGATTTTTTTACTAAATATTTTACTATATAAAATGTAATTTGAAGCACAATACACTAGGGAATGAATTTTAATATAGACTTTTAAGCCAATTTTTAATTATATTATTGACCTCGAAATTTAGTAGGAACGTGTGGTCAACATATCCTAGCTTCTCTCCAGTCCATGTATATGTTGTACACTTGAATATTATTTTAGATTCCTCGTGATCAAGCTCCGACAACGTGCGACCGACACGAACACTCCGATACTTAAGTCAAACAATGAAGTAATACTTTTCCACCGAGCATTCTTCTCACCTTTTATAAAATGCTTTCGTCTAAAACTTTAAGGCGATGGATTGGTAGTATTGCTTTAAATGTGAAATTGGAGTTCAATTGACGTAGTCAGTTATCGAAATACACACGGAAGGAACTTCCCTAGTTGCATGTGCTTGGCTCATCACATCTCTCAACCAGATGGCAAGCTTAGAAGCCGGGAATTAAAGTGGAAACCTGGGATTGATTGGAGCGGGAGGCTTCTAAGGGATTTTGTTGGTAAATAGCTTGAAGGCATTGTCTATTGATTGTGGGAGGGATAGAGTGGAGAGACAATGTGGATGTTGGTTGAAGAAAGAATATTATTAAGAGCAATCTGGTATTCGAAGTTGCATTTGAAAGATACTAAATGTGAGTTATTATACTAAGAGAGCAGATGTGATGTTTACTGGATGCTTGATATGTGACCTCATTATAGTAGCTAAGTATTAAAGCCCAACTGTGTCAATTTCAATTGTCATGGACCTGTAATTGTTTGAATAAAAACTGAAAAGCAGTAACCATAAGTCATAGATTTGTAGACTAAAAAGTTGAATAACGTATTTGTTGTAAAGCTATCAAATCTGTCAAATGTATCAAGTATCTTGAGTTGAAATGACATCTATAAAAAACACTTTTCACAAAAGATGACAATCACCTCGAAAATATATTGCTATATGAGGGTGGCACCTTACCACACCTTGGTAGTAGTCACTTCAGATGAGGCGTTTAAAAGCTTCGTCTAATCATCTTAGAGGACACATGCGAAGCGATGAGATAAAGTGACGTGTGAACTTTACGTGACCTCTTACTAAACTTTTTGTTTAGTTGACTATCACATGATGAGACGTACCATATATCTGTTAGGTTTCCTATATTGATGTTAAATTTAGTAAATGATAGAAATCAAGTTTGTTTGAACCTATGCCAACCAAGTTTGATTATGCCTATCTACGCCACTCCATCTCCCCCTAAATATCTGCACATTCTCATTAAATGCTAACTCCAAAATTATGGATAAATGTATGTGCGCTATATTCAAGATGATATTTACTTATCTATCATTATCCATTGCTAATAAAAAACTTTACTTTATAAAATACAAATTAATTATTTGATAACGACGAACTCTAATTTAGGAACATAATTATTAGTCTTCTCACAAAGTAAAACCAAAAAAAAAAAAAGAAAAAAAAAGGAAAAACAATAGAAATTTGATATGCATTTTACTTATCAATTGAAAGGTATATATTCGTAATCTGATTTAAATTAAAAAAAAAAAAACTCTATGAACAAAATTTGCACGACGCTTTGTAAGATACCAATTTTTCTAAGATTCAATTATATTTGTAACAAGATGAATGATGAGCAGATATCTATGACGTTTGCTACTAGTTTGATTTTCATTTTTTTTTCCAATTTCAAATTTAATTATCAAATTAATTACTTATTTATATGCATTTTTCATATTCAATCATAAGTATTGAACTCTATATCACCCAAATACAATACACATTATGTAAAATATGGCTTGAATCATGTATAAGCACTTCATCAAATGATTTTGGACCGTTTGATTGGATTTCTGCATTTTTGTAGAAGAGCTTTCTTAAAAGTTAAATTATGTCAATTTTCTCTAAAAGTTTTTATAGTCCCCGACCAAACACTTTAAAAAAATTATCCGAATGAATTTCAAAAGCTTTATCGAAAGGACCTTTCATTTACTTGCTTGAATCATGCAGAGGATTGTTTACTATGTTATCGACCTCCAACTAATGCTCGAGCGACCTTTTAACATCCACAATTTTCAACTAAAGCATTCAAATGGATAGTCAATTAGTTACAATAGGTAAAGTATTAATTACAAATTTTAAATTAACAATTTGTTAGTCAACTCTCTTGATATAGTCTCAACTAACGTTTTAGCACCTCACTTGACATCATATTTCATCTGTTTGTTAAAATAATAATAATAATAAATAAATAAAAATATCTAAAATGATAAATAATAATGATATTTTCTATGTTTAGTATTTTTGTAATTTACATATATATTTTGGATAAAATTAGTTTAATTAGTTAATAGTAATTATCTCTATTATTACGAGAATCAATTGCTCCATCTGATAGTATCACCTTCATTCCCACCCATCCCCCTCTCCTATATAACTCAATAATCCAAATTCCTTTCTCTATTCTGTCTCTAATATATACTGTATACATACATATATACTTATATATAATCGTGTGTTCTGTCACTGAATCATCACAATGGATTCAAACGGCCTGATAGTGAGTTTCGGCGAGATGTTAATCGACTTTGTGCCGACGGTCTCCGGCGTGTCGTTGGCGGAGGCGCCGGGATTTTTGAAGGCACCCGGCGGAGCTCCTGCTAACGTGGCGATAGCGGTGGCTAGACTTGGCGGAAAGGCTGCCTTCATCGGCAAACTCGGTGAGGATGAGTTCGGTCACATGCTTGCCGGTATTCTGAAGGAAAACGGCGTCTCCGCCGATGGAATCCCCTTCGATAAAGGCGCACGGACTGCCCTCGCTTTCGTCACCCTACGCGCCGACGGAGAGCGTGAGTTCATGTTCTATAGGAATCCTAGTGCTGACATGTTGCTCACTCCCGATGAATTGAATCTTGAGCTCATTAGATCCGTAAGTGTCACCATCATCGAATTATATACATATATACAAAACTGTACATAAATTGGACTTTTTATTATACGGATATTTCTTGTTTTGTTTATTTTTGAAAGTTTTCTAGATTTCTAATTGACGTGAATGGTCGTTGGGATCTTTATACAATTTTTTTTGGGTTGTTGATTCTGAATTATTTTGACTAATCAATTATTTTTGGTAAATCATTTTACTTATTATGGTTAATTTATATAGAAAAGTAGGTCCATCTGAGTATGAAAAAGTAAAAAATATGACGGATTTAAGAAAGTAACTGTCAAAAATTGATTTTTTTGATAAAAAATCAGAACCAGAGGGTGGGTTAGGCATCCAGGTCCACGAGTTGGTTGGTGAAATCAAGAAATTTTCATTTCATAATTTGACAAAAAAAAAATTGTTTCTTGATAATTATTTATAATATTAAGGAATTTCATTTTTTTTAAGGTTTTGGAATTTTAAATATAAGCATGCAAGTGTCAGAAGTTCAGTTTTTGAAACTGGTGAAGTTTGAAGAATTTTTTTGGCCTTTTGTGAGGCGGATAATGCAAATGTTACCACGCGCTGCCATATCACTGCCACGGGTGATATAAAACCACCACACGGTGGTCCACCGACTTTGAGGCCCAGGTGAATTTTCCAGTTGAATAAAGTCAGCTTAGCCATATTGAAAAGTAGGAAGTAAAGAGACAGAATAATGTGCTAGGAAATGATTCGGTGTTTTTATTTTAATTTTTCAAACTGTCTAATTATGCATTGACACGTATTCCGTCTGGATTTGAGTATGAATGTATAACATGATTGGACAAAATGGATCAATGAATCATTTTTACTCAAAAAGACTTATCACATAAATTTCCACAGGCTAACGTGTTCCATTATGGGTCGATAAGCTTGATCGTGGAGCCATGCAGGTCAGCACATTTGAAGGCAATGCAGGTGGCCAAGGATGCCGGGGCATTGCTCTCATACGACCCCAACCTCCGGCTGCCACTGTGGCCCTCAGCTGACGAGGCCCAAAAGCAGATCATGAGCATATGGGACAAGGCAGATGTGATCAAGATCAGTGATGTTGAACTCGAGTTTCTCACAGGGAATAACAAGATTGATGATGCTTCTGCAATGTCCCTATGGCACGACAAATTGAAGCTTCTCTTGGTGACCCTTGGAGAAAAGGGCTGCAGATATTACACTAAGGTACTTTTAATTGTTAGTTCCACATTCTCAATTTATACCGTTCAGAGCAGTATTGCCATAACGGGTAGGTGAGGCTCTTAAAAGAAGAAACAGTCTTTCTCTATCTATATATTTTAATTTTAATGTTAACAATTTTGTGGAAGACAGTCTTTCTCTACCTATATATATTAACAATTTTGTTAATATATATATATACATATACATATATATATCTGGCTGAATTTGGTGAGTCTCCTAAACATTTTTTTATAGCTTTCTACTATTTGAAAAATGTGATTTATGTGGCTCTGAATTATAATTATTTTGGGTTTCATTATATTCTATGAGAGACATTCAGTTATTCCCTATTAAGAACACGTTTGATTAATTTTCTGGAATTGTTTTTGAAAATAATACAGTTTGACCCAACTAACACCTGGGGGGGGGGGGGGGGTGAATAGGTGTTTATGTGGAGTTAAAATGATTTAATTAATAATTGCTACAAGTCACGGTAATTAATTTGTCCAGATGAAGTCACATGCAATTATCCCATGTTGAATTGTTGCAGTATAATAAATTGCAGAAAAGTAAATAACATGAGATAATTGTTGATGGGGAAAACCCCTTACAGGATTAAAATCTCCAAGCCCAAGCCTATATGAATCCACTATGAACGAATCAAATTTTAGTAATGCCAGACTCGACCAACACAAGTACTTTCTTACCTCCTAACTGTAATTCCCCATAGCCCTCCTAGATTGAGTGCATCTGTACCAACTCTAGACTTTCTGATTTCGTCTATCTCTTGTGGATTTTCGAGAGTTCCTTGTTCTCAATCACTTTCCTTGATCTTCAACCTTTGATAAATGCTCTGGAAGTATGGGTTTTGGTGTTTGGTTTGTGGACTATTGATTTTTTTAATTGCAACACTCAAGCTGGATTGAGTGATATAAATGACGTATAAGAAGTTTCTCACAATGTTCAATCTAAAGAATTTCGTGAAAAGGCGTAGGTATTTATATAGTAGATGTTTTGGGTAGTATGGGCTTGTTAAAATTCTTGAAAATCGCAAATTAGGATTTCTCGGTATGCAATGTTGCTCGAGCTAAAGCTCAACGACAAGCGATTGGCGGTATTTCGCTTGAGCAAAGGCCTGATGATAAGCTAGCGAAGTCCATACTATTTTTGTCGCTCGAGCAACAACTTGGTGGCGGGCTAGCGAAATTTTGGCAACTTTTCTTTTGTTCCAAAGATGGTTCCCAATGACTTTAGACTTATTTAAATAACCCACCGCTTGACCCTTTAACTTTTTAAAATATTTTACAATTATATTTTTTTGTTCACAGAATATCAACTACTTTAAAACCTAACACTTTTGTCTAGCTAGAAGATCTTTTCATGAAATCCTTCTATAAGAAGCATAAGTCCTGCCAAACGCACCCCTAAGTTAGAAACGCAGGTTTTGTTGGCTTATCTTGAGGCATAAAAATATGGAAATAGCTAACAGAATAATGTTTTTACCATATTTCATTAAAGAGACATCCATTACTACATTCAAAAAGCTACACCAAGTACCCATTTTCCATCCCCTCTATCTTAAATTCCATTGTGCTTTTGATTTTGCATTTCTTTCTTTTCTCCCTTTTCCTATTTGTTTCCTATAATAATTCTTTATCCTGCATATTCCTTTTATTCCATGTTTTTTTTATGTGAAGAATCGGTAGGATAACAAAAATATCTTCCCTCTAACTAATATATTTGCTCAACTAGTGAATTATCGAGATAATCTGCTAAAAAAACTACCTATAATTATGTGTGCTAAAAGTAGCTGATAATATAAAAATGTACTAATATAAACATTAAATCCCTTTTTGGTAAATAGAATTTCCATGGATCAGTTGATGCTTACCACGTCAAGGCAGTGGACACAACAGGTGCTGGTGATTCTTTTGTGGGAGCCCTTCTCTGTAAGATTGTCCACGATCATGACATAATACAGGTAATTTCTTGATGATAATGTTTTGCACATTCTAATTATGTTTAGAATTTACAGAACACTAAGGATGTGTTTGATTGCATTTATTTTTCCTGGAAAATATCAGTTTTTCATATAAATTCCTACATCGAGTGTTCGATTGCTATTTTTTTCCATTGAAAATATTTTTCGCATTTTGAAAATATGCCTAATTTTCCTTGTTTTTAAAGAAAATATTTTCTTAGGAGGAGTAGGTTTTTGTTTTCCTCAAAGCAAGGAAAACATTTTCTTTTCTATGTGATATTTTCCATGTCAACCAAACACACTCTAAGTCTATTGATTTCTTGATTTCCAGGACGAGCCTAGATTGAAGGAAGTACTTAAATTTGCATGTGCCTGCGGAGCAATCACCACGACTAAAAAGGGAGCCATCCCAGCTCTCCCGACTGAGAAAGAAATTCTCACATTTTTAGGAGGAAAATAGAGGAGAGCGTGTCCTCCTTTCCTAATTTTTTATTTTGGCATGTTTTTCCAGACATATTTTATTATTATTTGCAATTGCTAAAATAGGTTTCCTATTTCTCAATTTCAGGTTTTCTTTTTATTTGCTCTTAAATGATTCATCATATTTTTCAGTTGCTCTTAAATGCTGTTGGCTTGCAGTTGCAGCCATCATTGACGAAAAAAACCTCAGAATGGTGGTACAATTGACGGAAAAAAATTAAAGAAAGGACGACTTCAGTAATTGGGACATGTCTTGTGTAGATGTAGAAATTCTCCTTCAATAGTAGAATGGTGTGGTCTCACCATATAAGTCAGAATAAAGGTTTATCCAACATTAGTATGCCGTGTTGCTTGAATGTTTCAGTAGATATAGTTAGTAGCCCCTGTTGACATTAGTATGCGGTGTTGCTTGCTTGAATGTCGAGGTTGATAACCCCTGTTGACAATGTACTCACAGGAGGGAGACCCATGGTTTTTTTATTTAATGCAGGTCCCCTTCCCATGTGTCTAATTGTCAGTTTGTACACATAACACAACTGTGTATATATATATGTACCACTATTCTGAGTTTTCTAGTTTGCCTAAATTGAACTCAATCTCATCTTCGATCTTTTGGAATGCAAGCACTACATTTGTTATATTTTTCAGTTTGTAGCAAAAAGTGGTTTTAGATTACCACTGCTTGAAAGACCTCTTTTGAAGAAATAACGGGTAAAACACAACTCTCATCATAATTATGATCATCATTATTAGCTGTATCCATTACCCCTAGAATAATCTCTTCATCGGTCAAATTTTCCATTAGTGTATCATTTTCCCTTGGATAATTGAAAAGAAGTTCCACATCCATCCACNCGCTAGATACTCATCATCAAATTTCTTGTCGTTGTGGGCCAAACACTTGACAAGTCTGTTAAAGTCACTCAAATTTGATTCAATATCCTTTTCTGGGTCTAGCTTAAAACTAAACAGTTTTTGAAGCAAATGTATTTTGTTTGGAAGAAATTTTTCCAAAAAAAGGCTTGTCAAGTGCCTCCCACAACTCTTTGGCAGTCTTATGTCGTTCAACTTGTCCTAACACGTCATCGGATAAATGCAATATAATCAAACTATGTGCAATTTCATTCATCTCAGTAATTTCATCCGGTTTAGCTTTTAATGCATCGGGATATTTTTCTGGGTCTTCAAAAGCTTTAGAAACTTTTTATTGAATTAAAATAGCTTTCATTTTTTGTTTCCAAATGGAATAATCTCCCTTACCATTGAATTGTGCCAATTCAACTCAAAAGGCCATATTAGCAAAATATCGTTTTCGAAAAAAGTTTTACTTAGCCAATTTAGCCACACACAAGTGCAAGCCCAAACCAATTTATATATAAATTACTTTCTGAGATGACATAAATGATGATATCATAACAAGTAACACATAACCAATATCACAAGAGTCAAGTAACAATATGGTAGCAAATAACACAATATTTCAATTGTAAATTCGAGAGAGTGTTAGAATGCGCAAACCGAGCGAACCAATCTATTGGTTCGTATTTTAAGGAGAGATGCGAGTCTTTATTGATTTGAAGCCTCCAGTAACTGCCCTAAGTCATCCAACAGCTGCTGAAGCACCAGGAAACACCACCGAGCCGCCAATGGAAAAGTTTCTCCATTTTCACTTTTCTGCCCGAGACTGTATCTGCTTTCATAGTGCACCAAACTGAAATCTAACACCACCAGAAGGTCAGAAATTCATCAAGGAACAATCTGTATTTTTTGACCTCCGGCTGAATCGTTCTCACGCGCCATCACGAGCTAATAGTGTCTTCTACGCGTGACTTCACGCGCCGCCTCCACTGCCGGTGCGTGCCCAACACGCGCTGAATCGAAATGTTTTCGTTGATGCCTGGAGTCTGGTGGTGGTCTCCGTTCGTCCACCAGATATGTAGTTTTTCCAGAAAATGGGTTCAAAGTTTCTGCTCAACTTGTTTTTAAATAAAACCGAATCCCTTCGACTTCTAATCTGATTTTCAGGTTGTTTTAACAACTTTTAACACTAGCCTAAGCTCTGATATCATTTGTAGAGTCTAAAGTGTAGAATACAAAAGATTATTACAACTACAATGCGGAATAATAAACTCTCAAAGTGTAAAATCAAACCAAAACTGACTCCAAGCTTCTTCAACACCACCAATGAAGTGTTCTTAATGTTGAGCTCAGATTTGTACCACATCGGATCATGCACCATCGTCCAGGGGAATGGCAATGGATATATTGAGAAAGAATCCACGGGAAGCCACCAAGAATTTAGCCAAAGTTATGGAAAGCTCCCACTTGGTTACCTCTCTATGCTCTCTCTAATGTTATGCCAAGTCCAAGTAGAGAGAATGAAGAGGTCTTGAAACTATAGAGCCAATTCATTTGAATTCAAAATTCAAATATTGTACTATGGTTTAAAGAGTGACAACACTAGTATAGGTAATTGACCACTAGATTAAATCCAATCATTGGATTTAATCTATGGTTCATATCACCCCATAACTAGCACAATCCAAGTCACATTCTCTAGATCAATCAACTTGCACCAATACTATGTTGTGATCCACCTTTCACCAAACAATTTACAATGGTTATTGTCATGATATCAATGGTCCAAGCCATATTAATAAGTTGATATATATATATATATATATATATATATATATTTTTTTTTTTTTTTGTTGCTTGTGACTCATAGCTCCCAAGATGCTAGCATAAAATCGATGTCTATAATAAGTTTCCAATGCTCGAATGATCCCATCATCACATGGTAGAATTTTTGACATGGTATTAATTAAGAAAAAAGAAATATAGTTCAAAATCCCTCAAATTTTCAATTACCTTTGGATGGGTGCATGATCATTCTCCCATTCATTCTTTCGTCAAACCAAAAAATAAATTCTTGGAAAAGTTAACAATTCATCCATTACAACAACAACAACAATTAATAATTTTCTCCTCATCCTTCTTGCATCCTTCCAATTGCTTTGTAGCAAGTGAATGATTTTCTTACAGTGGAAAACTCTATTTCATTGATATTGTAGATATCCTTCCAATCAATCACACCGAAACAAAATGGATTAGCTGAAAGAAAGGATATAAGTTTTTTGTAAATGATAAATGTCATGTTGTTAAATTCTAAATTACCTTTTAACCTATGGGGGTGAAGCCTTACTTAGTGCTTGCCATATAACAAATAGGATTTCCATGAAAAAGGATAAAATGTCCCCATATGAAATTTGGAAAGATAGAAAATCAAATATCAATTATTTTAAATTGGGGGTGCCTTGCCTATTGTAAGAATATAAATCCTAAGAGAACCAAGTTAAGTCCTAGAGCTATCAAATGTGTCTTTGTGGGATATGCTCTCAATAGCAAAGCCTATAGATTATTAAATCTTGAATCGGATGTTATGATAGAATCAAGAGATGTGGAATTCTTCGAGAATGTAATGGTAGCTAGGAAATCTGAAACAATAATAAAGATATTCCAACCTTTAGAAACTCACCAGAAGAGACATCCATAAGAAATGTTGAAATTGAACCTCGAAGAAGCAAAAGAACTAGAAAAGAAATGAACTTGGGATCAGATGAAATAGATTCCCAACTTATTTCTTTTTACTTAGTAGAGGAGATAGGAAGAATGTTGTAAGAACAATTCCCTTTGTTCTTCAAGTGGAAAATGATCCTAAGACTTTTAAGGAAGCGATGCAATCTAGAGATTGCATATTCTGGAAAGAAGCTATAAACAATTAAATGGATTCTATTATTTCGAATAACACTTGAAAAATAGTTAACCTACCATCAAGCTCTAAAGCTATTGGTTGCAAGTGGGTATTTAGAAAGAAATACAATTCTGATGGATCACTTAATACCTACAAGGATAGATTAGTGGCTAAAGGGTATTGTCAAAGGGAAGGAATTGATTACTTTGACACATATGTACCCACGGCTAGGATAATCTCGATCAGGATCTTGTTTGCACTGGCATTCATTTATGATTTACATATTCATCAAATGGACGTTAAGACGCCATTCCAAAATAGAGATCTCGAAAAAGAGGTCTATATGGAACAACTAGAAGGGTTCGTTTTATCGGGAAATGAACATAAGGTTGCAAATTAATTAAATCCTTATATGGATTAAAACAAGCTCCCCAAAAGTAGCATGAGAAATTTGACTCTAAAATAATGTCAAATGAATTTGATCACAATTCGATAGATAAATGCCTCTACACGAAAGTGAATGATAATATAATCACGCTAGTTTGTTTATATGTTGATGATATGCTAATCATTAGCAATAATATAGATGGGATTAAAGAAACAAAGATGTTTCTATCCTTTACTTTCAAAATGAAGTATATTGGAGAAGTAGATACTATCCTTGGTATCAAAGTTAAAAAGGATAGTGGGGATTTAACATTAAACCAATCATATTATATTGAGAATGTGATAAACAAATTCAAACATTTAAACGTTAAAGAAGCTGATACTCCTATAGATCCAAACATCGAATTGATCAAAAATGACGGTAGAGAAATAGCACAAATAGAATATGCAAATACAATTGGAAGTCTTATGTATGCATCACAATGTACAAGACCTGATGTGGCATTTGCTGTAAGTAAACTAATTAAGTTTACTAGCAATCCAAGTTCAGAACATTGGAAGGTCATTGGTAGGGTTCTTGGTTACCTAAAGAAAACCAAAAACTTTGGGTTACAATATACAAAGTTTCCAAAAGTCTTGGAAGAATATATCGACGCAAGTTGGATATCGAGTGCGAGAGAGAATAAATCCACTTCAGGTTGGATATTCACTCTTGGAAGTCTAAGAAACAAACTTGTATTCCTCATTCAACTATGAAATCGGAATTTGTAGCATTAGCCGAAACTGGGAAAGAAGCTGAGTGGCTAAGAGATTTATTATATGAAATACCATTAGATATAAATGATATTTCTTCTTTACCTATCTTGTGTGATAGTCAAGCTACTTTAACTCGAGCATATAATGAAGTATACAATGAAAAGTCTAGACATATGAGTATAAGAAACGAGTATGTAAGAAAA